CTGTCCCTCTGCCTGTCAGACGGCTAAGACCCCGATCCGCCTGAGCAAACAAAGACCTTACCCAAGCAGGAGACTCCTCCTTCTCCATCGAACAGACAGAGAACCAGAGCTGAACCAACAACAAGAAGACTGCATCCAGAACTGCATCCAGAACAATCTCCACCTGTGGCAGCCAGAACCAAAGCTTCATAAAACAGCAAAGAGACTGTAAAGGAGGAGATGAAATGCAAAGCAGTACAAGAACAGTGGCATGATGGGGGCTGCAGATGTAACTGGGCATATGGCTGCATGAAAGAGTTACAGCGGATGGATTCAAGAGCTGATGGACAAAGGGGGAGAAGTCAGAATCAGAGGAGTTGGTCGAGCAGAATGTGAGGAGGCCGGGGTCACGGCTCGAGATAAACCAGAGGAGACGGGAAGGGAATCAATCGGAATGAGTGAGTTTGCACATAAACACACTTATTCACAAACGCACATAAAAAGGACCACATTTAAAGAAATTGAATTGACTTGATAAATAAGTAAAGATAACAAGTTGTATTACCCATGAATTAATCAATTGGTAAATAAAAAATAGCAGTAAAGAAGAAACTATTAAAGTAAAATGAGAAAATGAACCTAAACACACTGAAGGTAAAAGGGGGAGATATGATGGAAATATTCACTACACTTTAAGCAGTGGGTGTTCTGGAGTTAGGAGTGTAGAGTAGAAAATATTCTTCAATCTTTTCATCATGTTGACAAATTATTCTTTTAGAGCTTTTATTCATGTGTGAATTTGGTAGTGTTTTAATTTGTTACAGTATTAATCTACAGTTTAAAGGGAGAGTTTTAATAACCACTCTATAAAATCAAACACATCTTTATTTGTATGGATAATGTTAAAGGGAAAGCTAGTACCAAGCCAAATATAGTATCTCAATCTAGGGTATTGATTTCACCATTGTAGTATATATATTACTATAGAAGAACTTTTTATGGGGAAATAACTGTTGTTTGTAGTCCAAAATGTAGAGTTTAAAATACAAAAATTAATAAAAATAAAAACAGCAAATTTAATTTTGAAAAAGCAATATAATTGGAAAAAAGTTAGATCTCATTTATTAAAAATTAGATGTTATTTATTAAAGAAATATCTGCCATAGTGATAATTCCTAAATTCAACTACAAACCATTGATGAAATTACTTCGGTTTTTAAATCCTTGATAAAGGAAGGAGTAATTGTTACATGTTCGGACACCCAAGGTTCCACATACTGTTAAAGAGGTTAACATTGTTCTTTAAGTAGACCAGAATTGAAGATAAATGAATATAATGAATTATGAAATACAAAGCAGAGCTTCACAGATCCTAATAATGTTTTGACTCAAGAAAATAATTATGTGCACACGTTTCTGAAATAGATCTATTAGATATTTTAATATAAATTAGGTGTTAATAAACTGCAGTAGTAGTAATATAAGGAAGTGAAAATGTTGGCTAACAAATTTCAGGAAATGTGGGAAACAGCTGTCCCAATGAAAAGTTAGAGATATCTGGAAAATTATAGTTGTAATCGTGAATTAATAAATGATGGCGCTCCATATATGACAGATTTTTGTAGACAAAGGATACTGGCCTATGCTGAAATATCAAAGTCTCTGCAGAGCACGACACATGGCCAAAAAGACTGAGACCAAATTACCTTTGACCCTGACTGACAGTGTTACTTGAGAAAAGTCAGTCAATGACTGACTCTGGGGTGTACCTGACCAAATTTGACCTTACAACCTGACAGTGTGAGTGTAAATGTATGTCTGCATGTGATCAGTGTAACTGCATGATTTAAAACAATGACTAACCAAGCATGTTTTTGGACTAACACATTATTCTGGGGCTCTGTGGGAAACGAGAGGTTTACTGTGGAAAATAATGGATGTAAATTTGTGAATAATGTTAGGTATTTTCTTATAATCAATGGTTACCTGAAGGTTTTCTATGGGCTCAGAACAGTCTCATAATACACACATGCACACAGAAGGATTCACACTTGTATTTCATGATCTGCAAAAGGATTCACACTTGTATTTCCGGATCCACACTTGTGTTTTTCAATGCACACACAAATGTGTTCCGTTTCATATACATGTAAATAAAATCCAAATACAGAAAAAAGTTTTACATATGTATTTTTGATCCTCACATATTTGTTTACCGTTTAAATCCTCTGAACCTGCAAACACAACCCGCTTTCTGTGCATGGATCGCTGTGCATTCGTGTGTGGGTCTTTTGAGACTCCCCTGACGGTCACCCGATTCGTACTTGTAATTTTTTCTATCTATAGCCAATCAGATGTCTCCTCAATTCTAAGCCAATCACATGAGCGCGTCCCCACGAGGGTATGATTTATTGCGAAAAAATCAATAAAAGAAAGTTTAAAAAAAAGAAAAATAAATGAACACAAGACTAGTTTCACAAGGGCAATTTAAATTCATAACAGAAAGACATTTGATGACAGTATGTTGGGATTCTGTATTCATTTTTTCAGCTTGATAATATCTAAGCACTGACAGGTAGAAGCAGTATTGCCAGGAAATCATTCACTTTGACAGTATCATGATTTTTAGTTGTTTTTGAATGCATAACATTAGTGTGTTTCTTTACCAGAAACATGAGTAGTTCATTAATATATTTAGATTTTAAATAGGATTTCAAGGATTTGATTTAAGAATAACACAGATGCTTGTCAGAAATTCAGAGCTATTGAAATATGTTATTTAGTTCACCTAAATATATTTGTATATGTGCATATATGTATATCAGTGTATGTATGTGTATGTATATGTGTATATGTATATATGTCAATCAACACGTAAGGAGATTAATAATAATAATAACAATAATAATGCATAATAATGATAATTATTGCAGATTATAGATTATAAATAAATCATTTAGGGACAAGGGGGTGAGATTAAATAAGTTATACTTCTTCTCACTCCTTTTCGAACACTAGATGTGGCACTGTTTATGTTGCTAATGCTGTTGTTGTAAATGTCAGTTTTTGTTTTGATTTCTCTTACATGACTATGCACTGCAACATTTGTTTTGTTTTGTAATTATTTATTTTACTTGTTTGAAATAAATGTATCAATCAAAAAAAAAATCAATAAAACCTAAAGATGTTGGAGTTTTATTTTGTTGGCACAGTCCAAGTATTAAGATTCTGAGGCTGCACTGGCAAATAGGAGGTCTAAAGGTGTGAAGATTTGTAGAGTCTATTTTTATATAACATTACAAGACTGATTCTTATTATTACATTATTTGCTTATTGTGCTCATTTTATGTTGCTGTGACTTTGGAATAAATAGACACAATCATCACCCCCCCCCCCCCCCCCAGTTTTGATGGGGAGGATAGGAACGAAGGGAAAAGTCATATGAGAAAGTGTTTAGCTTGTAGTAGCAAGGTCAGGTGCAGAGACTGAGAGAATACAAAGAGGTAGTCAGAACAGCACATCGCACCGGCCTTGAATTGTATGGGAGCCACGCTCCCACGCAGAGATAGGAAGCAACATTATGGTTTTCCACTATATCTGAAGAAACGTTAGCGAAAACAAATTACGTATGATAGAGACAGAGTAGGGAGGGACTTCGCCAGCCGGCCGAATGCTGATTGGAGGATTGTGTTGCCAAGAGACTCTTGTCTGAGTCTGTGCACCAACCAAAGAGAACCAAGTCTAAACCGCGGTATCTCTTCATCTAGTCTTGACCAATCATAAATGTACGGGCAACGCCCTGTGTAATAAAATGTATTGTCGCACGAGGTTCGAGGCTCTTGTCCGGAAATAGACTGACAGATTACAGCTTTGCTCTCTGTGATTTCTGTGACGTGACGGAGTCCTTGGCCAAGTGATATATATCTTTTGCTCTCTCATAATAAATAGTTAAACTTAGAAGTCGTCTGTCTTTCCTGGAATTTTGAACACAACACTACCTATATGTCTGAACTCGATCCTTAGAGTAATGTGTTATGGAGCCTTCTCTTCAATCTTTTTTCCACATAACGAGCATTTTGCGCTGCTCTTTCCCAATGTGGAAGCAAAATGTGTGAAAGCATACAGCACGGTGCGGGGTGTGTCTCTGGACTCTTTAGACTGGAATAGCGGGGGCGCGCTCAGTACGTGAACTCGCCTCGCAGGTGCACACGCCAGGACAGAGTACATCTGACTAGGCCTGTCGCGATAAGCAATTAATTGACTTGTCGTACGATAAATAAAAATGAACTCGATAACTTTTCTGAGCTCGATAAATTGCCGTTTACATGCGTGTTTGTTTACATAAGGATGTGACCAGCATTTTAGCCAGGCTCGCCGTGAGGGGCGGGGCTCACACACAGCCAGGTCAGGACACTCCGCGTGCAACAGTGTAGCAGCCAAATTAATAATATAGAGACAAGCAGGAGACAACGTGTGAATTACTCACGGGGAATTTGAAGTTAAATGGAATTGGTTGCAAAACCTAATTCCACATCCAATATTTTGGATTTAAGCCAAATCAACGAGGCGAACCTACGGAATTGAATGAGCCGGTATGTCGCATTTGTTTTAAAAAGGTAGCAACAAAAGCTAGCAATACGACCAACCTTAAACTGCATGTGAAACACAACCTACCCATTCCGTTTTCCCAGCTGGGAGCAGATACGGCAGCTGGAGATGGAGAGCCCCCACCTGCAAACATGTTGGTGTTCCTTGCTCGAAATCTTTGAAATACAGATTTGGATATGGCCTGTTGAGGCATCTCGGTCTTTGTATGGACAGTGGACAGTGGACAGTGTGTATGTGTGTGTATAAACTGTGGTAATCTGGCGTGAATCAGTGCGCGAGTCCGACTTGAGTCCGAGTCCAGGACTCGAGTACTCCATCTCTGCAAGACGGTCACTTTTGCAAGGAGATTAAAATACGAGAGCAAACAGTGTGAGGAACGTTTTAAGTCATGGACATGGAAAACAATGGCCTACCTTGTGTCCACTTTGGTTCTCTTGGGCTGTGATGTAGCACGTGAAGACCTCATAGACACTCTCCTCATTTTTCAGCTCCTCTCCCCACATCTGCTGCAGTGCATCTTTAGATGACTTGCTCTTCAGGTAGAACAGGTAGTAGTCATTTAACTCGCCAAAAGCTGGAGAAGAGGAATTTCCCCTGAAAACATCAACAGCAGGATGCTACTAATTCAAGATTTATTCACCAAATAAAATGCATTAATAAGGAAGTTGACATTGAAGTTTTGTAAACTGGTACCATCTGCCGTTGGGGAACTCGTCCCAGTCCTGAGTTCTGTAAATGTAGCTCTTTGGTCGGGATGCCCAGAAAATGGGTCGAACATCTTCTACCTTCCGCTTGGGATGGGCACTAACTGCCCAGGGAAGAGGACGTCTGGCAAACAAAAAAAAAGAACAAGCTATGAAACTTCTGGCCATTTTGAATGGCAACAATGCAAACAGAGTGCAGGGCCTCTCTAAGATATCTGGCTTCACAAACCTGCCACTTGTGTTCCTGGAGAACTTACCAATCTAACTACGACTATGTGCATGTATAATTGACAAACATGTTCAGGATCCAGAGCAGCGTGTATGAAGTGATAGGATTTTTGTTAAAATGCAGCATTTGAAGTTATTATACCTTAAAGCAGGGGTCTCCACTCACAAGGAGCATTGTCCAATACGGAGACCAATATGAAATCACAATTTGAAAAGAAACTGTTCAAGTGGACTGCCTATAAGACCCTTCACTAAGTCACAGCGAACCCTGACCTTAGTTACATTATGTATAGATAATTCTTTGATCTCTGACACTACTTTTGTTTGTTTTGTTGTTCCTGAAAATAATAAAACCTAAGTTTAAAAAAAAAAAGCAGGGGTCTCCAACCTTTTTTAGGATGAGAGCTACTAGTTCAACACATCCGATCAGAGTTTGAAGACTACTTTGATATCTGTGTTGCTGGTATGCTTTCAGCCTTCAGATCAGAAGTAGGCAGTTCAAGTTGAACTCCCTTTGATTTAATAATGCATGTATTGTCCAGGATACCCCACAGGGCACCCCGAGGCAGAAAGCTATGAGGAGGATTTAAGACACCTAAAGGAAAAAGTAGATGCTTAAAAAATATAACAAGTCGTGAGCTACTTTCACTCCTCTTTTTTTTGTTTTTTGCAGTGTATATATTTAGCACATTTTAACATTACAATATGTTTACCTTTAACCTTTGTGTGCTGTTTGGGTCTGTGGGACCCGTTTTCAGTGTTTACTAAAAAAAATTATGCAATTTAATTATTTTAACCTGCTTTATTTGGGGGTGGACCTCACTTCCTCTAGGGGGTCCTTACCTCCTCTAGGGGGGTCCGGGGGGATGCACCCCTGGGAAGATTTTTGTTTTTAAATGCTGAAGTGAAATGCATCAATCTGGTGCACTTTGAGCACAACATGAATTGATGGATACAGCTCACAACATTCAGATGAAAGGGAGCTGTATACTTTTCAATAATCCAAACATCTTTAGAATATGATCACAACCAATAACAAACCATTTAAACTTGTTTATTCTTAACTTATGTTACCTAGTTAGTATTCTTTATTTTTATTTATGCATATTTTACTAATCACTCTCTCTAGCTCTCTCTCTCTCTGTCTGTCTTTCTCGCTCAGTCACAGAGACTGTGTGCTCCTCCGTGGCGATGAAGGCTTGCGTTAAAAAATAATAATAAACATATTTGTAAAGTGGGGGGACATAAACGGGATTTCGAAAAGTGGGGGGGACATGTCCCCCCTGTCCCCAGTGGAAATTACGCCATGCGTGTGTGTGCGTCAGTGCAATAAATATATATGCAAGTTGCAACACACACACAGTAAAACTCTGCCCCTAATGTGTTGTATAGGCTGGTTTAGGTCCTATCTATCTGAACGCTCTCAGTTTGTATGTGTCAACGATGAATCTTCCATGCAAACCAAAGTTAGCCATGGAGTGCCACAGGGCCCAGTGTTTGGACCTATTTTGTTCACACTATATATGCTTCCGTTAGGCAATATTATAAGGAATCATTCTGTACATTTTCATTGTTATGCGGATGATACTCAACTATATTTATCAATCAAGCCTGATGAAATTAATCATCTAAATAAAATTCAAGACTGCCTCAAGGACTTAAAAACGTGGATGACCTTAAACTTTTTGATGTTAAACACGGCCAAAACTGAAGTTATTGTACTTGGGCCAAAGAATCTACGAAACAAATTATCTAAAGATATACTAACTATGGATGGCATTCATTTGGCCTCCAGTGAGACTGTAAGGAATCTTGGTGTTATATTTGATCAGGATTTATCCTTTAACGCCCACATAAAATCAATTTCAAGGACCGCCTACTTCCATCTACGTAACATTGCAAAAATCAGGCAAATCTTGCCTCAAATGATGCAGAGGAACTAGTCCATGCTTTTGTTACTTCAAGGCTGGATTATTGTAACTCTTTATTATCAGGGTGTACCAAGAAGTCAGTTAAGTCGCTTCAGCTGATTAAAAATGCTGCAGCACGTGTACTAACCAGAGTTAGGAAAAGGGACCACATTACTCCTGTTCTGGCTGCCTTACACTGGCTCCCTATAGAACACAGGATAGAATTAAAATTCTTCTTCTCGCCTACAAAGCCCTTAATGGGCAGGCGCCATCTTACCTTAAAGAACTCATTATACCCTACTGTCCTACTAGGGCATTGCGTTCCAAGAATGCAGGGTTGTTGGTTGTTCCTAGAGTCTCTAAAAGTACAATGGGAGCCAGAGCCTTTCATTATCAAGCTCCACATTTGTGGAATCAGCTTCCAGTTTGTGTTCGGGCGGCAGACACCCTATCCGTTTTTAAGAGTGCGCTTAAGACCTTCCTTTTTGATAAAGCTTATAGTTAGGGCTGATTAGATTCAGCCCCTAGTTTTGCTGCTATAGGCTTAGTTTGTCGGGAGACACCTTACTTTTTCCTTCTCTCTGTCTGTACCTGTGTACTCTCATGTTCCCAATAACCCAGACATTTCCAAACATTTGGACTACCTATGTTGCAAATGTATTATCTTTTCAATTTACACATTGCACGTCTGTCCGTCCTGGGAGAGGGATCCCTCCTCTGTTGCTCTCCCTGAGGTTTCTCCCATTTTCCCCTTTAAACTGTGGGTTTTTCCTTGTACGATGTGAGGGTCTAAGGACAGAGGGTGTCGTATTGTTATACTGATACTCTGTACAAACTGTGAAGTCCACTGAGACAAATGCAACATTTGTGATATTGGGCTATATAAATAAACATTGATTGATTGATTGATTGATTGATTGTATGGGCTGGCATGAATAGGCTTTTTTCAATGGGGCTGATGTGTTGTGTAGATTCTGCCAGAAGGAAAATCACGGTCAAACTCCTTATGAAGTATGCGGTGAGGTGCCGCTCCACATTGCTTTTCTTCCCGACTGCAACGCTGGTCCCGCAAATCAAGCAAGAACGTGATTGGTCGATATTCATTGTGGGGGTTGGGGGAGGAGGGGTGATAGATAGATATAGAGTTGTAGTAAGTAGATAGAGTTCGCTATGATTGAGGTTTCGTTTATGCATAGGGTAGATTCTTTTAATTACATTTCCTTTTTTTTGTGTGTATTTTTTACATTTTGGATTTCATCACTAAATCACGAAGACACAGCAATACAAACTGATGAATATCATAACCAATATTGCATGGTAGCAATCAGGAAAAAAATGAATTACCTGAATTTCCCAAAAAGTATTGTGTGTTAATATTTCTGATTTGTGGTGTTCTCTTTTAAAATAAATAACAAGAACATGTAACCATTAACATTAATCCCCTTCTTGTAAAGAGGGGTATTGTGAAAATGTGTTTCAACTATTGAGGTGTTGTAGAGGTCATGTTCTAGAACCAGAATGGGACAACATTATTTATATTTTCATTGGAACAGTAGTTACATCATGCTGCTTTTTGCTACTGTTGCCTTTCTGTCAACACTGGGACTCTATAGGAAATATGACTGTTTATGGTGATTTTTTTAAGCAGGCAAAAAGGATGACTGACCTGGGGTCCTCTATCCACAGCCCCAGCTGTCGCAGCACCTCCATGGTGGCGACCTCTCGATTCAGTGTGTAAAAGTGGAGTCCCGGTACCTTTCCACTGTCTAGCAGCACACGACACATCTCCACCGCCTGTTGTATTCCGTAGTTACGAATAGCAGCATCGTTGTCTTTGATGGGCTCGATGACTTCTGTGATTTCCTCTGGCACCTCGAGCTTCGACAGATTCACAAGCTGACGAAGAGACTGGTAACCCTGATGAGGAACAGGTTAAATGTCACATATTTTTAAAAGGTGATATTTTCCAGGGGTTTTTCTAGAAGAATATAGTACGAGGCAATACTGTGGCGCTGATCTTGTATGTAACAATTCTCGCAAAGAACATGACGCCAGTATACAAGACGGCGCCGTGGACGTCAACAAAAGCGCGCCGTCCGAGCTCCGTAAAAACAAAGCTGTCTCTGCAGCTGATGGTCTATTTGACACACTTTTGACACTCATATTTTTGGAGTAATTATACCTTTTTTGCCAAACAGAAATATTGTTTTCTGGAATCACATTTAGACAAAACCATGTTTTCCATGTCTTTTATTCTAAACCGGAGCTTGGTGCTATAAAATACTTTAGGAATGGAACTATGGAAATGCTCAATGTATTAAGAAATGCATACAGCCGATACTCAAAGTGGGGCTTTAAAAGGAGAGTTACCTGGATGGGGAAAATTCCTGGTAGGATGGGACATGTGATACCAATTGCCCTGCAGTCATCCAGGAACTTGAGGAATGTGTCTGCTCTGAAGAACAGCTGGGTGATCACAAAGTCTGCTCCAGCATCTACTTTTTCCTTTAGGTGTCTTAAATCCTCCTCATAGCTTTCTGCCTCGGGGTGCCCTGTGGGGTATCCTGGACAATACATGCATTATTAAATCAAAGGGAGTTCAACTTGAACTGCCTACTGCTGATCTGAAGGCTGAAAGCATACCAGCAACACAGATATCAAAGTAGTCTTCAAACTCTGATCGGATGTGTTGAACTAGATCTATGGCGTGGTTGAAGCCTCCCTCCTCTTCCTCCCAGTCGGCTCCCACTGGGTCTACAGAGAATCACAATCACAGTTTAGCTGGCAGCCATACTGTATGTTGTGAAGACCTCAAAGGTTAGAGATTAATTTTAAACTCAGATTATCACAATATCTTAAATAACATTGGCAAAAGAATCAGCAGGATGGGGATTTAATGAATAGAGTGAAAAGTGAGTTTAATTGAAAAGTGCACATGCAAGGGAAAAAGCAGCCTGTCTTTCAACAGGTAATCCACACACTCCAGACAGAGCTGCTCTTAGGCTTCTCTTTACTAAGAATTGCCGGGAGAAGCCAGTCAACCTTTTTTTGTAATCAGAAACAGAAGAAAAACTATGGAACAAATCAGATAACTCAATTTCTTTATGGTCTCTTGAGTGGGAATGTTCCATTTTCCAGCAGGAATTTCCTCGAGTGTATACTTTAGGCAGCTGATAAAAAAAGATTAGCACCAATGCTACTCACTTACCTACACTACTCTACAGAAGACTTCTATAATCCAAAATGTAAACACATGTGATCTCTCCTACCTCCCCTCAGGGCCATGATGTTTTTGAGGCCCAGGTGCTTGGCCTTGGCGAGGTAGCCAGTAATCTTCTCTTTGGTCTGGTTGCAGCAGGTCAGATGAAGGATGCTCTCTAGGCCACAATAATTGACTGCTGTGCTTGCAATCATCAAAGATGAGGTTTCCTTGTCGGAGCCTGGGTCCCCTGCTGGGTGCCAAGTTATGTCGATGAACAGAGGCCCTCCGCTGCCCATACGGTCAAATCTGAGGAAAGAAGGCAAACTCAGCGCTCCAAATCATTGCTGCAGAATTACAAAAAGCCCTTTAGTTACTGGTCTATAATTGTTGAACTATGCAATCAAGAGACATATTTCTTTCTGCTATGACTAAGCTATTATTTTTTATTCTTTGACCGTGCTTGCACATTTTTTATCCGGCCTTTGGTGATTCAAAGCATATCATGATTCCTGAATAAATATTTCAGTTTTCACATGCCTTGATATAAGGTTGACAGCTCCACTGGCTGTGCGGGGAGGAAAGAATTCCAGCGAGAACCAGCAGTCTCCAGACTCCGTCCTCTTGCGCATCTTGTCCCGCAGCCTGTCTGAGCGGTCTGCATCCAGCACCGGAGTGGAGCAGCGGGAGCTTTCCTTGGAGCTCTCCCCCCCACTGTTGCTCGCCCCGCTGGAGTCACTCTTGCATGACTGCCAACTACCGTCCCCTCGCTGAACCTGGTTAACCATGATGGTAACTTAGTCTGAGAAAAAAAGAAACATCTGTTCCATCAATGACTTGAGATTTTTATGTATAGCCTAACTAGCTGTACAGCACAGAAACCAATGAACACTAGTAGACACAACCTCATAACTAACCACAATAATAAAAAGTTATACAATTGTCAATACAGAATAGGAGGAAAGTTTAACTACATTGCATGATTCAAATCCTGCTTGAAAAGTATATAGAGAATCCAACGAGAGGCCACTAAAGTACTAAATAACAATAATGGTAAGGTTTAGGATTATTTAAATGAATTGCTATACCACTTGTTAGCATAACTTCTAATGCATAATGATTTATTAGTTGATTTATATTCTGTATTATAAATTAATACATGCAAAGAAGTTAGTATCACATTTTTTTAAATGCACGTAGTGGAGTAAAAGGTAAAACAATGCCTCCGAAACGTAATAAAGTAAAAGTATTAAGTAGCAAAACTCGAAAATACTCAAGTGAAGTACAAGTACATAAAATTGTATTTTGGTACAGTACTTGAGTAAATGTACTTAGTTACATTCCACCACTGGGCGTTCAGCATACGTTACCATGGAGAAGTGAACCAGCGTCGTAGGGCTGAAACCCGGCCAGCGTTAATCCTAAAGTTACCACGATAACCCCAAAACATGCTTCTAGTAAAGACCATGGGTCCCTTCTCACCCATTATTACCTCTAAACTGTAGAAAAGTAAGACATTTTTGTGATGACATCAACTCCCAAACACAGAGTAGCACGAGCCGCTCACTTTATACCCAGGTATATCCCCCCGCGCGTGCAGGTAAAGTAGTGTAGTAGCAAACTGCTAGCTCTGTGGGAACAGCTAATGTTAGCTGCGTGGTTCACGATGCAAGCCGTGTAGTTATTACATTCAAACAGACAGATAGAAGTGACCCAGACTATATTCTGCTTCTACCACGCCGAGCTTGTAGCTTAACCCAGTCTGCTCTGTTTGCGCTGTTGGTAAACAAAAAACAGTGCTTCTCCCACCTCCCAAAGACGGTTGTCTTTGTGTTGCGTCTTCAATCCGGGGCGGAACGCTAGCTGTGGCAGCGTGGTATCCAAAAACAGAGATCTCATGTGGCAGGGGTCAACCATGTATGAAGAGAACTGGATCCAGCGTCGGAGGAGGGGCACCGCTCATTGCTATGAGCGTTGCTCAGTGGCGCATGAAGCAAAAATAGAGCGACTGTAGATTCAGAAAGTACCCGGATCGTCCGGGGCCTTTTGTTTAGAGAGCATGCGCACTTATGTTTTCCTTAAGTCGATTAATGGAGAGAAAATAACTTTGGATTCAACTTTTAACGCATGGTACAACTGTAAAGCCCTAATGATTTCAATAAGGGCTAAACAAGTGTTCGTAGTAGGTAGTTGATTTAGCTCAAAATAAATTATATCGTTTCTTTCCCAATGTAAGTCAATGGGAAAAGGTATTTTTGGGTCAAAATGACGCCACGGACGCTGTAGTACCACCATTTGGCCGCTATAGTCATTCCAAAATCGGCTTCAACAATTGGCGCACTTCCTGGTGTCCTGGGGTCAACGTTTGCACGAGACTAGAAGCAGCGGAAAGTTGTCCTTTGCGAGTTCGTGAAAGAGTTAAAGAAAGACGTAAACAAATGATAAGATGACCCTGACTTAAAAAACGTTGATTATGCACCTGACACATTTGATTGTGTAAATGTCTAAAAAAATAACCTTTATTAATAGCTGCTGAATAGTTGTTTTTTAAATGTAAATAGTTGTTTAAACCAACAAGAAGAAAGTAAGCTAACGCAGCAGTGAATACCATTGTTTGTATGGGAATCAGTATAGTGCAATATTGTAAACAATGATTACAACAGCTCAATCACAAATTAATTGGTTTTCTTACACATTCCCATAGGGTGATACTTTTTATTTATGCATTCATTTTAAGAGTTTGAAATGCGGTTATGATATAATATTAAACTTATGCGTAAATGACACACAGTTTTGACTATTTTGAATAACATTCCGCATTTTGACAGGGGTAGCTACTCTTGCTGCGTTTAAATGTCATGGGAAATATTACTTTTCAAAGAGCAATAACGTTATCATCATATATTCAAAAATCAAATGTTAAGACACAGCTCCTACTCTTATATGCTGTCAAATAAATTGTCTGTTGTTCTACACACTAAATGTGTAAGGTGTTTCTAGTGAATTAGATAGTTGTATGCTATGCGATTTTACCAAAGCCACTGAACGCAGCGTGACACAACAGGGAAGATGGCGTGTTGTGGAAACTGTTTTTGTTGCCGATGTTGCTGCAGCGAAGGAGAGACTCGGACACCAGAGGAACTGGTAAGGCAAAAATGTGAATTATTTCAAAAGGGGGTCTCTTGATTAATTCATAATTAGATATTTTCCGTCGGAATATCACGTGGGTTCTTCTCAGTGCCCTGTTCTGGTTTGCTTACTCCACCCTGCTGATCCGACACTGTTGTGTTCTGGTGTCTTACATCTTTTACCATAAAACCCATTCACAATGCAAAACCGACACCTTCGCAATAATGTATGTGCATTTAGGAAGGGACAATGCACTTTAAGTTTAATCAACATGAGCACTTGAGTCCATGATGTAAATGTATCAGATTTATCCATAGACGCAGGGCCGGTTCTAGCCAATTTGATGCCCTAGGCGAGATTTTAGCTTTCGTTTTAAAGTAAAATGCTTCAATCTGGTGCACTTTGAGCACACAATTACTAGAGACTATCTAGGGGTACAACTCTAAAACACCCATATGAAAAGGATCGGTTTACATTTTAATAATCAAATAAGTATGTGAACATAACCAATAACCTACCATAGACAATAACAAATAAATGTAACTTATTTTATTTTTGTTGTTCATTCATATCTTATTTTACCAGTTAACATTTATTTATTTATGCATATTTTTGTATCTCTCCAGTTTTAAACGAAGTTTTTGGTTTACTGTCCTATAGTATACATTGGAATGATTTCAAACCTGTGTATTCCAATAATTATAAAGGAGTGCCTTGGGAATATTTGTTTACATAAATTGTGATCAAACCGTTTGAGACCCACTGAGATAACTTAGACTAAAGTTAACCATCTAAACACTCAGAGTCCTTTACCTCACTGAGCCAAAACATGTTTTGCATATTGCTACACCTGTTTACAGTTAATACACATTTCTTTAAATCAAAATCTAAGAGACCGATCAGAGACATAGGTCAATAAATCCTGGATATCCCATGTTCTCCTCGACATTAGGGTGCACTGTGATTATTTTCTATGTAAACTATGTGCTGGTTTTCATGTTGTGAATGAAATAGTATTCAGCTAAACACTTGTAGTTAGCTGCAGGGTTTGGCAGTCCCTGCTTTGCTGGATGTGTCTCTAGAGAACAATAAAACCTATTTTTATGTTTTCCTGAAGATGATCCTTGGGGAAATCCAAGATGAAGAGGATGAGATTCTACCCAGGAAAGACTATGAGGTAAGTAAGCAGTGTGGATGTGTTCATGTACAGATGTCTGAGTCAAGTGTGGGTTGACTTTTCTCGTTTTGGCTTTACAGAGCTTGGATTATGATCGCTGCATCAACGAGCCCTACGTGGAGCTTCTCGAGGGAATGGACAACAAGGTAAGAGAGATCACTTCCAATGTCTTTTGTTTACTCGTCGCTCAAAGTGGAGGACACATCTACAAAGCCTTCACTTCCAGCAGGTGGAATCTTACAGATCCATGTATATTGTGTGTTCAGGAAAATATTTCTATCTCTCTCTCTCTCTCTCTCTCTCTCTCTCTCTCTCTGAGGAAGCAGTTATTGTTGTTGCTTGTTAAGGGTCGAGCTCAAACTGACACAAGATAGTTTGCTGGCTAGGGACATCTGGTAGTCCAATGTATCTGAATGCTATCTCCCCTTTGGCATATATTACATGTTACTTGTTACATGTTACTTGTTAGACGCTTTTATCCAACGCAACTTACATACTCAATACTGTGGACAATCCCCACTGGAGCAATTTGGGGTGAAATGTCTCAGGGACACAACGACATGCTGACTGCAGTGGGGTTTGAACCACTGATCTGAACACCAAGGCTCTATCCATATTCTTAGCTAGGGACAGGCTTATAGTGCCTTGCTTGTTATGTCTTGTTATGCACAATGTTGATTATTCTCTCAGAGCTTGCTAAATACAGGGGACTGGGGGAAAGATCTTCAGAATCGGTTAGGCAGGCGCTGCGACAACTCGTTGCTGCAGCAAATCTCTTCCAATAAACCATCATTGTCTGTCTGCCATCAAGTCCAGCTCTCCCGTGTTCGCACTGTGTTTCGAGTCCTTGCTCCAGAAGTTTCCTTTACATTGTGTAGTGCCATCTTCCATTAAAGATCCACCCAGGGTTTCTGATAATAAAGCTTATAGTATTTACCAAAGCAGTGTTTCTTGACATTTTCATTTGTGGAAGTTGTCCCATACTTAAAATGAACCTAAACCTGCTGCTCCACACATGTTAGGGCTATTTTGATTCTCAATGGAGATTATTGGTCTTGCCTGATATCAGTGAACTTTCTTCTTATATTTGATCTGTGGACACTACTAGTTTATTTTATTCGAAACTAGACTGCTTATCTAAATAATGAGCTAAATCATCTAGCTAATTGAACTGACCCCTTTTTGTTAAGAACAGGAACATACCTTTACGTGTTTTTACAGATCATCTGAAAGAGCTGCTTTAACAAGATGTATCGCAGTAGTAGAAACAATTGAGTAGTATGCCTACTCTATCTATTTCATAAATATGAAATAATAATTGTATGAAAAAAATGTACATAAATTCTATGATGATATGAAGAAAATAAAAATGGAATGTGCACAAACACATACAATAGGAAAATGTGCATTCTGCTGCACTACTGTTGGATTAGGTCATGTGATAAAAACAACTTTGTTGATACAATTTAAATCCATCATTAAAACATATTTTCTACATTTTAATATTCATACCTTATTTGTCAAATGTTTTTAACATGTTTTCATGTTCCAATAGAAAGCCAAAAAGTATGAAGCAGTGCGATGGATGCTGATGTTTGCAATCGGAGTCACCGTGGGTCTGGTAGGTGGGCCGGGAATATCTCTTTGATAGCCACATTTCAACGTACTAATCATCACTTCCTGTCTCCTTCAGGTGGGCCTCTTTGTGGATTTCTTTGTTCGCCTCTTCACCAAAATCAAATATACTTTGGTTGCGGATTGTATCCTTTGGCATGCCTCTTCTAATGACAGGATAAATGGCTGAGTTCAGTGTGCAGTGATCAGCCTTTCTGTGATGTGCTGTCCACCACACAGGGTTATGGTCGTGGAAATGGTGTTAGTGGAATAATGTGCATTTGGGCAAAATAAGTCACAATATTACCCAAAGGGTTATAATAACGTCTGACAATTTAACAAAAATAACCAAGTTATAAAATAAATTATAAATAAGATTCTCATAATATAGATTAACTTTATAAAATCCTTCCTCCTGCCCCCTGGCAGTAATGGCAGACTGTACACATGTCAATCAGTGCTCTGCATTCACAGTGTGCATAAAGGGAAGCGTGTTAGCGGATCACATGATGCTATGAAGATAAAAAATTGCATTTATAAAACAGAGCAGCAAATACACAAACAAATTCAACAAATAGAAACAAATCTGTAAACCTTAAATTGATTCACAAATGAGTGAAAAATGATTATGATACATAATGAATGGAGTATGGACAGGCATATAAAGTGCATACTAGCCGTTCTCCAGAATTAGTGCATGACTCCTTTGTGTTTTTTCTCTCTTCCGGGCAGCCATCATTCATTACAGTATGTTCTGACAGTAAACAGAAACATTGAGATGTGTGAATGTTGTCCTGAGCTCAGCCTGCAGCCTTGCAGCAGTGCAGTGACAGAGGCTGTCTCTCTGTGTCCCTGCTGGAGCTCCTGGCCTTCAACCTGACCTTCGTCTTCATCGCCAGTGTGCTCGTTCTCGTTGAGGTAGGACTGCTCACACACAGCAGCTTTTACATTCAAACAGAAGGCATTGTCTTATGATATTAAGTCATCGCAGTCATGTCAGTAGTAAAACATGTAATTCAGAAAACTCCTCAAGACTCCAATAAGAAGCATATTTGTTAAATGAAATTCTCGCAAGAGATAAAGCCCTGATGCGTAACCTCCCGACACACATACATCATAACAATCCATCTAGCCAACACAGTAACAGCAGGGCGGCTAAGGAGTGGATTGTTGGTTTGATTCCCCTGGAGTCAACATATTGAAGTGTCAATTGGCAAGACACTGAAAATGGTCCCAAAGACTGAAAAAGCACTATAAATGCAGTCTATTTACCTTTGACAAAAGTAGATATAGTCTGAAGTATTCATACCATAGATAGAGCAGTCATTTAATAATCCTGTGCATTAATCATTCACACAGTCTCCTTCTTACATGTGGCAGCAGTAACTTTGTTGCTTTGAAGCTGCATCATGTGTTTAGCATCTTCATATTTGTCTGATATTAAGGTTTAATCTTCATTTGTGAAATATGCTGCTGTGCAGATGTTTGTGATAAAGCTAAAACACTCTGGTAGACGGTTTGAGAAACTCTCTCTGTGTTGACCAGCTTACAGACCACTGTGAACGTGTTTTATAAAACCTTAACTTTCCAGTATTTCTTTCAGGATTGACCCAAACTTTACCTGGCATCAATACATAATAATAATAATACAAAGATGCAATGTATTTCATTTTTAATGCAAATCAAAAGTGTGTTTGTGATCCTAGAAAACGTATGTTGCCTGTTTCCAGCCTTTAGCTGCAGGTTCAGGGATCCCAGAAATTAAAAGTTACCTAAACGGAGTGAAGGTTCCAGGAATCGTCCGGCTGCGAACTTGCCTCTGCAAAGCTGCTGGAGTCCTGTTCAGCGTGGCTGGAGGTAATCTTAGTTTCCAAAAGGAAAAAATGCATATCCCCACAATGACGAGCAGTGCTGTTGTGATGATCCAATTAATAAATACATGTAATGGAATTGTGTGTGTGTGTCCAATCAGGTCTGTTTGTGGGGAAAGAGGGTCCAATGATTCACAGTGGAGCCATAGTGGGGGCTGGCCTTCCTCAGGTACTTCTGCACCTGTCTCATACTGTATCTTAAAAAACGGGCCGCTGACGTCACAGCCCTCTTAAACCGTGCTCCGCGCTGTAGTGGAAACGCGCCATTAAAGGAGAGGTGTCATGGCCATTTCCACTGATCATAATTCCATTGTTGAGGTCTACTAGAATAGATTTATATTGTGCATTTTTCCAAACTCACATTGGTTTCTCATACAGCATCTCTGTAAACTACGTGTATTCACTGAATTTCACTCTCTGCCTTTAACGGCTCGTTGTAGCTCCAATAGCTCCAGCCCCCACCCTCCCTGTGAGCACAGTGTGCTCTGATTGGTCGGGACGTTGTGAATCGCGCTGAGCTCCGTGGAGGTGTTGTTTCCTTGTTTAGGATACATAGCGAAACACAGCCAAACTCATCCTGAGCACACACAAAGTCACAGCCGAAGTAAAAACATTAAGTGTGGCTTGATATTGAGTAAGAAAAAGGTTGATAAACGCTGTGAGAATGGGTCTGCAGAGAGAATTTTGCCGCGATCCCAACTGTCTGTTATCAGCCTGCAGCCAGGGAGGAGAAATCAGCAGAGCTGCCTGCTCCCTGCACACAGATGTGTGTGTGAGGAAGTCCGTGGATTGGTCAATTTGGACCAATCAGCGGGGGCTTAACGTAACGGCTCCGCGGACGTGACGTAACGTAACGGCTCCACGGATTGGTCCATTTCGTTCCGGGTACGTATCTCCAACGAGGCGTTTTGGGGAGGTATTTTCTGTGTTAGAGTTTTACTCGCTATAGGGTGTACTTTGAGGGTTTTGACTCTGCACACCGTTTACATGCATAAAAACCTTCATAACACACAAGGGGACGGGTAATAACCGGAAAAGCATGACATGGGTCCTTTAAAGGACAGGTTCACATAAAATACGTGGTAACACAGCTGTCAGTGGCCACAGAGAAAAAGGTTCCTTCATGTTATTCCTCCGGTAAAAATACAAGTGGTGTCCCTCATCTGGAAACTGAGAACCTGAAGACGACTTTGAAATGCAGCTCAGCACTGTGTGTCAAAAATATTCTAGTCTGAAATCTGTAAATAAACTGCAATAATGTAAAGGGTATTACTGCTGAAAACACTATGAAAGTTGATGATGACCATCAACATGCTTTATTATGTCTTATAAATTGGTGCAGAATGGTTTAGGTTGATATCATTTGTTACATGGATTTGGTGCCAAATAAAAACAAATTACCACTTAGGAATTGTTAAAAATTAGGAAATATCACTCCATTAGGACCTTTAGATCTTAAAATAATAAATGCTGGGATTAGGGTTAAAAAACACTTTTGGTAGTTGGAGAGTTCTATAAGAATTGCATATATTTGGCGAATAGATCAGAAACCCCCTTATTGTGAAATAGGAAAGTCTAACCCCTCTGAAAGCTCTCAGTCTGCAGTTTGTAAAGCTTCATGAAGATGTGATTATCATAAAGTGAGCATGTCTGTAGAGCAGAGGCTGCTGGGTATCTATAGAACATTTTTGCATTCAGAAAACTAGAGGTCAGAAGTCAAGGGGACCCTGTGGTTGTAGCCATGGCAGCTCTAACCTTGCCACAAATGTGCTTAGGTTATTTATCCTCCTTCCTGACAAGTTTAAACTGCAATATGATATCAGTGTCTTCACTCCAGTGAGCCTGCTCCAGCCTCTTAAAGACAGGGAAGTGGGCAGGGCTTCACTTCCATTGTAAAATGATTGACTTTCAATTGGTCCATCCACTGATGGATTTGACTCATAATATGGCTAGATATGTGCTCATCAGTCTTCTTCTCCCTCCATCAGTTTCAGAGCATCACTTTCAAGAAGATCAAATTCGATTTTTCCTACTTCCGCAGTGACAGGTATGGCTACACAAACTACACAAACAGCGTTACCGAAGTCAAAATATGCAGCTAGTGTGAACAAGCATATCTCATGTTGTCGTGTGTTCTGATTTTCAGGGACAAGCGAGACTTTGTGTCAGCAGGTGCAGCAGCTGGAGTAGCTGCTGCATTTGGTGCCCCTATAGGTGGCACGCTCTTCAGTCTGGAGGAGGGCTCCTCTTTCTGGAACCAGGCACTCACTTGGAAAGTGGTATGTCACCTCATCCAAAACCCAAAACATGTGTTGTCTTTCCGCTGGCTCTGTCGTTTTAATCTACACTAGTTAAGTAGAGCTCAGTTTTCTCCTCTGTTTCTGTTCAAGCTCTTCTGCTCAATGTCTGCCACGTTCACCCTCAACTTCTTCCGTTCTGGGATCAACTTTAACAAGTGGGGCTCCTTCCAGCTGCCTGGTCTGCTCAACTTTGGAGAGTTCAAGGTAAAGAGTTAATCCCTGGGGTTGTCTCTTTGTTTGAGCTAAAATATGTGTGAAAATGTACGTCTTTAAGTTTTATTAAATTATAACATTTATTTTTAGAATTATTCAATATATTATTGGTATCAAAAACTCTTTTATTACACACATCTCGACAACAATAACAATTGTACAAATTGTAAAAAATATTGTTCAAACACCACGCTAATTTCATCATTACAGCAGCCTTTTTCCACAAAGAAACCTAGCTTGTCTCCTCCAATTCCTCTCAAGCTGCTGCTGAAACCTTGATAATCTTTGTGGTTAATATCCACATTCTTTAGTAGAACTCCAGTACATCCAGAGCTCTGCTGCTTGCATGTTCACTCACTACACCTCCAGGGACCACATCGTCCCTCTACTAAAAGACCTTCTACTGTTTCCCCATCCCACAAAGGATCCATTTCAAAATCCTCATCACAAACCAAGCCCTTCATAGCAGTGACGTGCGGTGAGGTTCATGGCTGGTGAGGCACTGACTCTTTCAGAGTCAGATTTACAAATATTATAGCCTATTTTGACCTTAATCGAAATATTCTGTTATTTTCAAAAGCTTTTTTAGTCTGATGCTATGATTAATTTTAAACAGACCGATCAACAAAAGGATACCCAAAATCTAAATATTGGATTGTTCTTTCTAAGTAAGATCCCATTTTCATTACAGTTGTGGTCTTACCTTGACTTGAAGATGAATATAAGTCCATGCTATCCTTCTGGACAACAATCTCTATTACTGTTTTGTAAAAGTCCTCCTTATCTTCCTGTAGTTTCAAAAGTCTAGTTTGTTGTTTGCGGTAGAATAACAGTAGCAACAAGAACCTGTGGGCTCACGTGCGCCCCCTTCAGTGCGGCAGAGGTTATGGCTGCCTCTCCTGGTGCTTTTTTCATTGCCGTTGTACGATGAGACCAGCGAGCCTAAATATCATATATACGTGAAATAAGTTATTTAGAGACTATGGATGGCGAGGATAAATGTAATAAAGGGATCTACAAACATTACATTGGTGACCTACAGTGAGATGGTAACAGGCATGCGCTTAGGGCCCGCTTTCCAGCCAGTTTCTGTGGGGTGACGCATTCTGAAGTGAGGCAGAGCTCATCTGTGCCTCACCTCACCCCACAGTAAATGGCTTGAGCGCGCTCACAAAATAAGTGGCCGCGCTAAATTAGTGCCCGCGCTCCAGCAAGTTACTGTGGGCTTACGTGAGGCAGTGCTCGTGCCTGCCTCACTTCTCATCGCTCCCGTAGCGGAGCTCGGCAAATTTGCTGATTTTGACTATAAAATGCGATTGGAATCATACAGAAATCACATTTACACAAGATCAGTGGAGACATTTTATTATTATTATTATTTAGTTTTTCTTTAATTGTTTTTCCGTTACATTGGAGTATGACAGGTGAGGCTCTGCCTCCCCTGCCTCCACGTCGCTGCTTCATACCCAGGCCCCCTTCTGCCTCACCCACCTTCACTGCCATCCTCCTTTCCTTTTGACACCAACTTCCTGTTCCCACCATTCAGGAATGGACACCGGATATGGGCGGGGGACTCCATCTGGAACTCTCACCTCCAATTTATCTGTGACTACTCGAATCTGTTTATGTTCAAGATCAAGAAAGGACTGAGAACTCTTCTTAAGACGGCTCTTATTGTTTCAGTTTATGTCCTGTCCTGCCTTTTGCCTGGTGAACTCTCTATGACCTTTTGTTTTCTCTCCTGTTATTCATTGCTTGATGAAACATATCAGTGACGTTCTGATTTTTGCTCTGCAGTGTCCAGATGAAGATAAGAACTGCCACCTGTGGACAGTAGTGGACCTGGCCTTCTTTGTCCTGATGGGGGTGGTGGGTGGCTTGCTGGGGGCGCTCTTCAACTGCATGAACAAAAGCCTGGCCAAGTATCGCATCAGGAACATCCACCCAAAGGCCAAGTTCATCAGGTGATTGCTACAGGGCATCTTCATACAATCAGCACCCATCGTTACTGTCCTAAAGGTCTGTTCTGCTTTTGACTGCAAATGTCTTAAAATGTGACACTTATTTCTTTTAGAGTTTTAGAGAGTCTACTGGTTGCCATGGTGACAACAGTAGTGATATTTGCTGCTTCGATACTGTTAGGCGAATGTCGTGACCTGTACTCCCCCACAACCCACAACACCACAGTGAGTGACTCTTTTGCATCCTTACTGAGCACTCATGTAACTCACCCAACTTTTAAATAATAAGGGCCGGCTTCACAATGTATCAAATATGTCTTAAAGGGGCCCTACTATGCTCCTGTTCAGGTGTATATCAGTATGTAGTGTCTCTACTTTAAAGAGTCCTCTCCTGCTGATGTTCAGGTGTATATCAGAATGTAGTGTCTCTACTTTAAAGAGTCCTCTCCTGCTGATGTTCAGGTATATATCAGTATCTAGTGTCTCTACTTTAAAGAGTCCTCTCCTGCTAATGTTCAGGTGTATATCAATATGTAACATCTCTCCTTTAAAGAGTCCTCTCCTGCTGATGTTCAGGTGTATATCAGTATGTAGTGTCTCTACTTTAAAGAGTCCTCTCCTGCTGATGTTCAGGTGTATATCAGTATGTAGTGTCTCTACTTTAAAGAGTCCTCTCCTGCTGATGTTCAGGTGTATATCAGTATGTAGTGTCTCTACTTTAAAGAGTCCTCTCCTGCTAATGTTCAGGTGTATATCTGTATGTAGCATCTCTCCTTTAAAGAGTCCTCTCCTGCTGATGTTCAGGTGTATATCTGTATGTAGCATCTCTCCTTTAAAGAGTCCTCTCCTGCTGATGTTTAGGTATATATTGATATTTAGGGAGAACTTTGGGATTGTATCCTTTGCAGACCATTTACATGCACAAAAACCTATATAACACAATACAGGAAAGGGAAAACTCTAAAAAGCAAAATAGGGCCCCTTTAACACAGCAGTCAGGGACGTATTCCTACAGTTCGTACTGTTCTATAAGTCCACTTTGATATCTTCAGTACAGCGTTCATGTGTCACAAATTGTGAAAGGCAGAGGCTAACTCTGAATATCTGCATGTGTTCAAAGGTCTTAAAAGCATTTAAGAGCTCCATGAAAAAGGCTTAATACGATATGATGTTATGTTAATTGTAATTACCAAGTCTTAAGTCTTGTCTGGAGGTTTGTGTATGTGACTGGGGGCTTTCAGAACTGTTCCACACGTCCTCTGAGCTATCACACATGCGGAAAACACAAAGCTACAACAGCAGCAGCTCAAACATCAGCCAAAGTGCTAGTTTTAGTAAACACAAAAATCCTGATGTTTCCTTGGTTATCCATCTATTAATTTGTAAAGAATATTAAGTAAGAAGACACTCTGATATAGCCTTAGGATAGTTAGGTTCAATTACTTCCTGTTAGGACTTGATCTCATGTTAAGCTGTGAGTTGTGTTTCAGCTGTCTGGCAGTGAGGACATCAACTCAACCATTCGTCAGTTCTTCTGCACCAACAAGACCTACAACGACATGGCCACGCTGTTCTTCAACCCTCAGGAGGCTGCTATCCACCAGCTCTTCCACCAGGATGGTGGGATAAGCCCCCTGCCCCCCTACACACACACACACTCACTCACTCACTCACTCACTCACTCACTCACTCACTCACTCACTCACTCACTCACTCACACTCACACTCACACACACACCTGTTCAATGTACAAAAATTATGGATGTAATAAATGATTGTGATATGCAACATTTTTCATCTTTTCACAGACTTATGCTGCCATGTTTCAGGAGGTCTCTATATTAACTCTGTCCCTGTTGTCCCTTCAGGAACCTTTAGCCCGGTGACGCTGTCAGTGTTCTTCCTGCTATACTTCCTGTTGGCCTGCTGGACCTATGGTGTGTCTGTGCCCAGCGGCCTCTTTGTCCCCTCACTGCTCTGTGGGGCCGCTTTTGGACGTCTGGTTGCCAACATCCTCAAAGTGTAAGAAGCATGTTCTCATGATTTTCTAATGACAAATGTGTGGCTGTCCCCCTTTCTCTACAACTATGAAATGTCCCATCAAAAAGGGGTCAGAATCTGATACAGTAAATGATCTCACTATCAACCGGTGCCATAGGTAGAACATTTAGCAGCTTAAGAGACAGATGTTCCCCTCAGGAGGCCAGAGCATGAGCTAAAGGAGAGATTAAACTGAACCTGTGTTCACCGGAGGTTAGAGCCCTCACACAGCCAGAGACAGACGCTCTGCAGCACTGTCACACACTCAGAGGTTTCTGAGAAGTGTTTCTATCAAAATGTCTCATGATGAGTCCAAAAGTTCTGTTTTGGACTGTTTGCCTCCCCAACCCCTGTCTGTGCTCAGTAACTATATGTTAGGGATGTTAAGATTCACCGATTCGCATCGGTGCACCGGCATAAACGTTCAAAATGCGAGTGCACCGGTTGAAAGAGTGCACATCGGCTACAGTTTGGGTTGAACTCACGATGCATCGATTGTAGCGTCTTTGCATCGGTAAAAAAACAATTCATTCATATAATATCCTCTCATCCTGTCAGCACTCAGCAGAGACGATCTTTGATCTTTGCTTCGCCACTACGGAGGCCGAGAGTCTCAGTTATCAACACACATGGAAGTCGAGGAGAAAGAGAAACACAGCGCACCGAAAAATACCTACAAATCAAACGTTTGGCAACACTTCGGATTTTTCAAGAAAGACGGACAACTTGAAAAATCGCTCGCAAATTGTAAACGATGCCGTGCCGCTTTAAAGTACACAAGTAGGCTAGTACGACATGGGGTCTGCGGCTGAAAAGAAAAACCTGAAAGTAAGACATGAGTTAAATCACTCGGTGAGGTGTTCTGTCAGAGAGAGTGGTGTTTAGTTTACAGCAGCCTGTGACTGCCAATAATAGTTTAAATGTCTTCCTTACAATGGTAAGCAGTTATGAAATACCTGTTTGTGAAAGGTTATTTGTATTCTTTATTGTTCATATAGAAACCACTGCTTTCTGCTCACTGGTGAGTTAGGCCCCGCTCACACGGGACCGTTTGCGTTTATGCACAGTATGCGTATTCAAAAAAGTCTTCCGTTCACATGCATTTGTTTCATTTAACGTGTCTGTTTAAACGAGGCCGCTGGAAACGCTGTAGTACATATGCTGGGACTGTAAGTGGCGCTGTAACTTCCGCCAAAATACACCAAAAGCCGCGAAGAAGAGCAGCCTGGAGCAGCCCCGCAGCAATGTTGCCATGGCTACCCTTCTGTTTAAGCCCTGAAACTGAAACTGAAACTGAAAGAAACTGAAAGAAACCGAATCTGTTGTTGCTGATGGTTGTGGTAGAGGAGCTGTATATTTTTGCACTAATATCTGTAGCATGGTCAGTAGCAGTAGCACTAGCAGTAGCTACTGACAGGAGGAAGTCAGTGTGTGTGGCGATTGCTGGTATTCAGCGGGATATAGTCATTTCCTCAGCATATGGATAAATGCAACGGGGAAGTTAACTGAAAGAAACCAAGAAGCACGTCTCTGTGGATATTGCATCGAGAGGACGGCTCAGAAAGAGAGATATTCTCTACAAACACCGGGTGAGATGCACCTTTGTCAATATAATGGATCAATGCATGAAATCTGACTCTGTTTATTTTGTTTAAGGAGTATATTGGGCGTTAACTATTCTGGTTTGCCTTTTATAATATTATTTCATTCAAGAACCCCTTGTGCGTTTAATTAACACAGCTATTTTTGATAGTTGCTACAGCAGCAGTGAGCAGGAGAGGCGGGGCTATCGCAATTTTTTAAACACATCAGGCTGGCAGTTGTATGGGTATTGCATAATGGGATGCGCAGTACTAGTAGAGAGAACCAAATATGTAAAGCACTTAATTTATGATTTGCTGCATATAAGGAATAAAACAAAACCCTCTGTCGTACCATATTGAAGTATCATTATTTTGCATTGTGTTGAATCGCATCTTATCGCCCCGAATCGCATAATTTTGAATCGAATCGTATCGAACTGTATCGCAACAGGGGTGAATCGTATCATATCGTATCGTATCGTATCGCCTGGTGCTTCAAATGTATCGTTAATGTATCGTATCGTTGGCAACGTATCGAGATGCGCATCGCATCGGCTTCAGTGATGGAGATGCACATCCCTACTATATGTGCAACATGTCCACAGGGCCTCCTCTTTAACCTCTATGTTTTGTCTGATGTCCGGCTTATCACAGCTCCTCTGCAGGCTGTTATTTCCACTCTTCTTTCAGCCCGTGCCCTCCACAGGTTGCATCAGAAAGAAATACAGTTTCTATTATTAAGAATTAGCACAAAAGCGAGACTTGGACATGCCCTAAATGCAAGTCTCCATGATCTTAGACCATGGCCTAGAGATGGTCTGAACAGGCCCAGAGCCTCCTGATGAAGGATTATGTTGCTCCGGGAATATGCCACTGATGGAGTTTATCTGCCAAAAAGTTGTTTTTTAATGAAGTGAAGCCTTTGAAGGCAAGATTGTCAAACAATGAATACATCCAATATTTTAACTTTGGACCTTGCTAAGCTAGTTGTTTGCCTTGCTTGAAGTCTTTATGCTAAGCTAAGCTAACCATGTGACTCACACAAAGACATGTGAAATGCCGACAAAAGTGAATAAGGAGAGAATGTAAAGATACTTATTAAGGTGAAGGTCCAAAGGTACTTTGGAACAATGGTAGAAAAAAGACTAAACATAGAGTGCCTCACAGCCTGCTAACATTGATGGATTCCTGAAGTAGCCTACCAACGTAACGACAACAGAAAGACACAAAGCAGAGGCTGAATCCCTGTGTGTGTTGCCTCTCTGTAGGAGAGGTGGTGGGGCCCATTGTCTGAGGATGAAGCCATGCTGCTTCCTGATGGAGACTCGCGTCTTTACACTCACCACACAATCCTCACTCTGTCCCCTCTGGTCTGTCCTCTGTTAGGAAGCTGGGAATGGACATCTACCCGGGGACCTTTGCTCTGATTGGAGCTGCTGCCTTCCTGGGAGGCGTGGTCAGGATGACCATTAGTCTGACCGTCATCCTCATTGAATCTACCAATGAAATCACATATGGGCTGCCCATCATGATTACTCTAATGGTACAGCAACAATTATGCTGTTTTTTCACAAGGAGTCAATGTTTCCATGTTGGTCTTGAGGAGTGAGAGTTGTGAATAATAGTCATGTCGTTCTTGTTGGGTTCACGTGTTTCATGCTTTTGTGTTGACCACCAGGTTGCCAAGTGGACGGGAGATTTTTTCAACAAAGGCATCTATGACATCCACATCCAGCTGAAAGGAGTGCCGCTGCTGGAGTGGGAGACTGAGGTTGAAATGGACAAGTAAGATTAGTTATGGGGGCTAAAGGCCTGGTGCTGCACTCTCACTGTCACACACACTTACACTAATGGCCCTGACACACCAGGCAGTCACCAGAGAACTCGCCGACACCGACACCGACAGTTCCATCGACGAGTTCTCCTGCGTCTTGGCCATGTGTCGCACTGGAACACACCGCAAAGACTTCAGCCGAGCACGTACGAACTGCGCATGCGTGAGTGGCAATAACTCTCCTTACCAGCAGGCGGCGGTAGTGTGTATTCGTCATTCAAAATAGGCAACAACCGGAAGAAAGAGAAGAAGAACAGACTGATATAAACAAACAGCAAATAGCGTGTGCGTTCCATTTTCACTCTCGTCCATCGAAAACATGTTTTAGAATATAAAAATACATGAATGATGAAATGAGCACATAAAGTGCAGACATACTATAAAATCACAGTTAATAGACCTGCATCTGATGATCGCAGTGTTCTGGCGGGTGTGTAGTTTATTGAGTCAGCAATGTAGTAATGTATGTAATGTAATAATGGCCACTTCTTGCTAAATTTACATTTCCATGTGATGCTTTTATCCGAGGCGACTCACAATAGGTAAATGAACAGCAGTACAGTATCTCATTTACTTAGACACTGTACTTAAGGACAATGTTGAGGTACTTGAGACTAATCCTGCAACTTTATACTGACAAATAAACCGATGAGATGAAAAACCGGACTTGACCAAACAAATCACGGAGCTCTCAGCAGAGGACAGCCGGGGACGCTCCCGCCGATATCAGAGATGTCCCTGCTATGTGTGGGAGGTAAGAGAGGACATAAGGGCTATGTTTGATGTCTTTAAGTATCACCTGCTGGGGTTTAGCTGCTGTCCTGTGCCTTCTTAAATCGCTTGTTTACGTCCCTCACTTCCGTTTCGCTTCTCATTTGCTAGCTGAACAGCTGATCAGAGTGGTTTCTTGGCCCGATAGCTTGAGTCCGTATTTTGGCCGTTTCAACATGTTGAATCGGCCGGGTGTCGACCGTGAAAGGCCAAATAAGGCGTGTCACGGCCGAGGGTTCGGGACACACCAAATTGACTTTGGGCAACAAGGAACGCGTTGTCACCAGACAACCGAAGACGGCCGAATACGGCCTGGTGTGTCAGGGCCTTAAGGTTAGCTGCTAACATGTTGAGTGTTGGATACCGACACACTCAAAACCATGCCATTCATGGGTGTCCCTCCTAGAGCAGTGGGTTGTTGGTGTCAATGGGTGCGCACCGTGCCTCAGCTTCTTTTACAGAGTCTAACCAAACACATTTGCAGTTACAATGCAGGTAGACAGGAGGATGATCATCTACATTATATATTTAAAATGTAAGGCCTGCGGGCCGAGAGCTTGCAAAGAATATAACTTGCAAATACTTCTTTGTCCCTTTTTAGAAGTACCACTAGCGTCTTAATATCAGCCATTTGTGATTTGGTAATAAGAAATGATTGAATAGTATCATAATGTCATAGTTAAGAAAAGCTGAGGCAGAGGCAATGTAATGAGAGAAGGGAAAGCCAATACATGTTTGTGCTGCCGAGGGCTCTCCGACACCAAACACAGAGCCAAGTATGCTAACTTATGGCGCTTTTCCACTGCAGGACCTAGCACGGCTTAGTACGGTATGGTTAGGCCTTGGTAGGCCAGGCTCACTTTATGCTGCGTTTCCATT